GGGGGGGGGGGGGGGGGGGGGGGGGGGGGGGGGGGGGGGGACGCCTGATTAATACTCTGCCTCTCCGTCTTAAGTTGGCTGACACTCACCTGGAGGAAAATGCAAACGCTCCGTCATCTGAGGCCGCGCCAAGTGGAAGACAAATGAGCTCTTGGGTGGCACAATCAATAAGTTTCCCTCGGGAGCCAAATTTAGAGAGAAAGCAGATTTGACAAAGAGAACTTCCTGTGCAGCACATTTGACTGCAGGATGATGCAAATTAGAATCAAGAAACGAGGAGAAAGTTAACTCAGATCAGAAGACGTGCACGAGATAATGCAGGAAACCATTAGGAGTAAAATCAACAACTTAGTTGGATCAAGTTATAGATTTTTACAGAAACGAATGACTTCCAGCAGAATCCGTTCAGCCTTTCCTTCTTAGGCATACAGAAAAATAGGAAAGAAGAAAGAAGAAATTTGGCCCCAAATAAATCCAGAGGTGTGCGTGACGTTGCTAAATGCAGCTCATACCTTGCCAGCCTCCCCATCTGTTCCGAAGGCGGGGTTGCCAGATTGGCTGGGTAATTCCCTCACACTCAAACAGCTGTTGGCTCCGTCCCGTCTGCATCATGTTCCCATGACGACACCTGGATACGCCGGGTGGTTCAAAATCAAGTTACAGCGCTCGTGCCGCCATCGTTCAAGATTATAACATCCATGTACGACTCCTGTTCCCCTTGTGACGATGTTATTAAGCACACTTTAGGAGACGCAGCCTGGAAGACAAAGTGCAGCAGGAGTCTGTAAAGATCAATGATGGTGGGGGGTTATGGTTACATGAACCGCAGCTTTAAAACAAAACACTGACAGTGAGCACAATAAGCAAAAAGTGTGAGGGAAATAAAACAAAATGGAGATCAACAGCATTTGGGTAAAACCCAGTCCTCTTCGGAGCGCTACAACTCAGAAATCCTTCACATTAAAAGCATTCCTTAAAAGTTTAAACTTGTCAAAAAAAAAGTTCAACTTTAACTGTAATGTTGATATATTTCACAGTTTTTACAAAATCCCAGTTTAGTTTTTTTTTTTTTTTTTTTTTTTACATATTTCCCTCAGGAACTGTTCAACTGACAGTTTGCACAATCATCAAATCTGTTCAAACAAACTATTTTTACTCCCACCAATACTTTTTCCGCTCATAAATAAATCAAAACAAAGACATTTTTGTCGTCTTTACTCTCATTTCTACATAATGCAGAGAGCACGGCCAAGCCTTTACACATGAACTCAGGCCCTTCTCTTAAAAACAGAAAGTCAAGTTTGTTTTTAACTCCTACTGTAGTAGAGACATAGAATAGCATGTGTTTAATTACCAGCAACTTTTGCCGCTCCGAGTTCAAATATTGCTAAAGAGGTCTCTCTTTAAATGAATCCTCGCAACTCAATGAGACTAACCAGCAAAAATAAAGGTTGAATGAATCTGCAGATGTTGCTTACATTTTTGGACAGTGACTGTTTGAGCCTTATTTTCTGTTTGTGTTTCTGCCTTTCGTCAACTGGACAAATATCATAATGAGCCACCGGTAACATCTTTCACCATTTTTTCTAACTTCTTGGCTCTCTTCACACCTTACACAGTTTATACAACAGAATGTTCAGGTTCCTCTCCTGGTCTGAGCTCAGCTGGTACACTGATGCCATCTGGTGTCCAGACCTGCACACCTGGATTTAAAGCAGTTGCACTAATGTTTAATCTGAAGATGCTATGTATAAAACTAATGTGTTTCGTTTATTATAACTGTGGCATGCATATAGTTGAATTCTGAGCAATTAACGGGCTGTAAAATTCTTGTGATAGAAATAGTTTGATGTGAGGTGAGGAGGAGGAACCAAAGGAGAGGAGAGGGGTCTGAGAGGAGAACCAGCTGAGTTTTCGTCTCCGTCAGGACACAGCTGTGAGCGCAGTTGCGTGATTTTGAGGCTCAGGCTGGGCCTGGACATGGAGGAGTTCCACGCCTCGGCTGCAGAGACACCAACTGAGAAACGGAGTAACAGACGGAGAGCATGTTGCACCATCGAAAAGCTGCTCTGCAGCACCGACCTGTTAAAGGCTGCTGGATCATATCAGAATGTGCTGTGTACACACTTCTTTAAACAAGACTAACTGCTTTAAAGAAGTGAAATCAAAAGTTCTCATCAAGAGCTGAACTGTGTTGTAAATCTAAAAACCAGCGTATGTGGTTCTGGATACCTGGACCTAAATCCTAAATCAAGCTCTTAAACCAGTGTTCGGTGTGTTTTTTCTCTATCTTGACTTGTTCCTCATGAACCATCACTGAAGCTGTTCAGAGTCGAGAGTCATGCCAGAGAAGAAACTGACTCTCGTCTATCAAGATCCCACCTCTTTGGATTGGCCCAGGAGTTAAAATCTAAAGATCCTTTTTATGAGCAGGGGTGCCACTAAGGGGGGCCCACAGGCCACCCCTAAAACATGGGTGAGCACCCCACTGCCCCCCTTGACCTGACGGTATTATCCTCGTGAGTCCCAAGAACTTCATACACATGAAAACTAAGTGTTCTTGATCTTTTAAGAGTTAAAAATAAAAATAAATATATTTTTGTAACAATTAAAATTAAAATCTAGCCCCCTTCATAAGGCCTTCAGGTCTCTCTTGTAAACGAGTCCCCGAGGCTCAATGTGATTAACCTGTATAAATAAAAGTTGAATGAATAAGGACAACCGACCAAAAACCACTGTCCACAACAATAAGACGCAGGGTGTTATTGTAACCTTTTATTTTTTTGTCTTTTTAGTCCCAGGTTTAGACACATACTTTTTTTTGTTCACAAAAGTACACAACAGCAAGCAAGCAAATACAGTAGTCCCTCATTTATTGTGGGGGATCCGTACCCTGAAGCCCTGTGATAAGTGAAAAACCACGAAGTA